ATGTAGTAAGTATTCGTTTTTGTCTGTAGGTTTGGTGTAAAGGTTAGTGACGATTGTGCCATTGTCAAGTGAGACGTTGACATCGAGAAAGGGTATGGATGTGAAGGAATAGTCGTATGTGAATTTTATGGTGGGGTGAATGTAATTGAGAAGGGAAGTATCATGTCCATATTATGAAGATGTCGTCTATATAACGCCACCATATGAAGGGCTGGAGAGGGGCACGTGATAAGGCATCCGTGTCGAATTTGGCGAGGAAAAGGTTGGCGTATGACGGAGCTATCACTGTCCCCATAGCGGTACCATGTGTCTATAAGTAATGTTTGTCATTGCAAGAGAAGTTGTTCATATTGAGAATCATGCGTATCAGGTCACAAAGTGTTTAACCAGCCAGGGCTAAAAGCGAAGCTCTCGATAATATATATAATTCGTTCAAACAAAATATAAAATCGTGTAATGCTAAGGCAACGAGAACGGAGAACGGCGAAAAAACAACGATAGGTCTAATTAGCAAAAAAAGCAACCTTGCACGTGCAGCACACTTTTTTGTACATTTCTTTGCCGTTGTCGTGCACGACTGCAAGAAAACTCCTAAGTTAAACGTTTTATCGAGGAAATGTCGTACTTGTTCTCGTTCACTATTTTTCACTACCGCTCTTTTTCACCTTGCATTGGTGGCCGCTAGCATTTCTCATTTTGTCACCTCCGCTACAAAATTCTAGGGAAAAATGTCTTTTTTATCTCTCACTCTACAGCTCTGACCCCCTTTTTCTCGTAGAGTTTCGCTGGCCTGCCGCCCACTTTCTTTTTTTCTCTGTCTTTCTCTTGTTCTATATTCCAAATTTGTGGACCTGATAATTACTCTAAGCTTAAAGCTCTAAGCACCCCTTCTGCCCACCCCTTGACTCCGCCTTGTTTTGCATGAATTTTGCAATGTTAGTTTGTTTCGATAAAGTTTTTCAAAGGCCATACCGATATTTTTCAATCGCCTTAAAAGTGCTTTTTCCTTGTCCGATCGCTATAAAATTTACACGAGTAATTGGCTATGGATTGAAATTCTGAATGAAGTGGGTAGGCAGAAGGGGGCTGAGCTGCACCTGGAGGAGTTTCTGAACTTCATTTTAAAGAAGGCGGTACCAAGGATCCTCTTGTATTTGTTTCTCACAAGTTTTGCCGGATGCTGACGATGTAGTGTTGAGTTTGCCGCTAAAACTGCTACTGAGTTAGAAGCATGTCTTAACCCTGATATCAACCATACTTCTTCGTGGATGCAAGAAAACAAGAACGAGAAGTCCAAAGACTACTGCAAAGCTGATTTAAAACAACGTGTATTAAGAAAACAAGCTATTTCTGAAAATGAGCAAGACGGAATATGTTATTTATAGTGCATACCAACGGCTCAAGAGGTAAGATAGTATAAGCTTATCCTACAACGGATCTTCTGTGACTGCACCCGACTCTTTCAAATATGTTGGCGTCGTGATTGATCAGCACTTGAACTTTACCAACAACATTGCGCACGTAGTCAACAAAGTTTTATTCAAGAAAATTTGGTGTTCTTAGGCCTTTGAGAATCTCTATTCCCATGGTTGCAGCTGAACGCCTCGACAAGAAGATGATTTCACCCATTTTTGATTACTGTGAGGTGGCCTGGCACGGGTGTGGAAAAGTTAACCCTGATGCTCTCGAGAGTTTACAGCATAGAGCCGCGAAGTTAATTTTTGGAAATTCTGGTCTCGATACTGCACTGGAACTGAATGAAACCTTGGGTTTAGTGCCTTGGTTAATAGGCGTAACTCACATTGTTTTGTTAACAAGAAAAATGCCTTCACGGTTCAGTTCCACCCTATTTGAATAACTATTTTAATTTAAATGCTTCTGTACACTCCGTAACATCTAGACGCTACAATGATATTCATATACCGAAAGTGAAGCAAGCGGTCGCAAAAAGATCGTTTTATTTTACAGGTGCAACGGAAAGTTACAGCCCCACTACTTTTATCAAACCAAAGAAATCCTTCCTTGACTTCTCACTCCTGCAAGGGAAACTAAAGATCTTTTTCTTAATTATTTAATGAATTTTTTTATCTGTTTTAACTGCATATATTTTTTATCTATATATATCAGCCGTGCGCAGTTTTCTTAGTCTTTTTTTCAATCTCTTTTGTCTCTTGTTTAGAATAATCCGTTTCGTGAGAGACTTTACTTTCTCGGGTCGCTTTCTTCACTATCATAGAGTCGATACTCCCATTAGCTTGTTGAAGGTATTCATCATATCCGACAATTTATATTGTACGAGTTGTGGATAAAACATAGAGTGCTTTGATCGGGAGAGAACGCCAGTTTTGACGCGAGAAAGGGTTGAGGAGTAATTTTGATGAGCGACTTTTAAAATGTAACTTCCGTGCATTTAATAAGCGGAATAAGCAACGTTAAAGTTATACGGCACACTTAATTTGTCGAAGCTAATGCCCCCCTTTTTTGTGCTACCGGAAGGTGGTTTTTGGCTTTAATAACATGACCCACTCAATACGAGGGGTACAGAATGGTAGTTTCGAGACCTGGCGAGACCTCGGTTTCAGAATTCAAGACCCACGTTTTTTTCCAGGGACCATTCTAACTGCAATCGACTCTAAGGAAATGAGGAGAGCATAAGAAAACAAATATGTGACATAGAGTAATTCGGATGCACTCATTTCAGAAAAAAAAACTAGACTAATGGCTTCACGAAACCGCTATTTTCTTGTAACTCAGCAGCGTCAATTGCTAGAACCGACCCTTGAGACCAAATACGGCTTCATTCAAGGCAAAAAATTTAGATGTTGCTTCAGCACAAATTGAAACCGAAATTTCCTCAAAACGATGAATCTCAAATAGGCTGGAACTGAAACACATGAAATTTCTTACAAACATTTTGGGGATTTTAAGAGCGCCAGATACTCGCGAAGAAAATTTTTAGATCAAATTAAACATTTTCCAGTTTGATAACCGATGTGACAATGGGCGGAAGAGCCTTAATAACAAATGATCCACCCGTTTTACGCGGATCGGGCGCTAATATTTCGCGTGCATTTCACTTTTGCGTCATGCCCACCGGATCTGAGAGCCTTTAAGAGAAAAGCAGAGGCGGACAGCAAGCAGAAAAAAAAATCATGGCCATTCAATAACATGATAACAGAATGGGTAGCAAATTTCCCAATGGTCACTTGGGAGTAAAAGCCCTTTGTTTTAAGAAATATGATCAGCTTCCGATTTTAGCGTCACTCAGTGAATCATCGCACATCAAATATCTGAGACGCTTCTACTACGCCTACTACTTTACGAGAGTAAACGATTGCGCTGAACGATGAGCTTCTCTCTACCAGGAACTGACCTATTCGATCTTATCGGTTATAGCGAGGAACTTCCCCAAGAGTATCTTTGTAATGTGTGGTAAGTAATTGACAATTTAGTTACTTTTGAAATCCCATTGTAATCATTTCGCACGCATTGCAGAGCTCTGTCCTTGGTATCCATTTGGAATTTAACTTTTGTGATGCGAGAGAATTTTTGTCGTTCGCAATGATATTAGATGATCGCAGCATCCTAAAGCGTATGTTAATTCTGCTTTGTTAGCAAGAAGCCTCTACTCGACGCACAAATAGCCACGCCATGTGGTCACACGTTTTGCGGCGAATGCGTTTACCGATTTCAGTAAACATCCCGTGCCATTCAGTGTGCGATGTGCCGCCAAGTGGTGATCGCCTTTTGCAAAAATATTTTTGCAAGCAATCTAATCACTGCAATTGATGGTGAATGCCTAGCCAGCAAGGGAAGGATCAAACTGGACGCTGCCAAAGACCATCTAGGGCGATGTTCAGAAGTTGAAGTGGTGTGCCTTCTCTGCAGTGAAAAACTGCAGAGAAAACACCAAGATGGCCACGATTGCCCCATGCGGGAAATAATCTGCAACTGTGGCGAAAAGTTCAACAAAAAAGACGAGGAGCACCACCAGCATCTTTGCAGTTTTAAACAGCCCATTCGATTGCGGCGAATTGGTAGAAAGGTACGTTAAAAAGTGTATGTGACAGAAATTTTTTTGTTTGCTCTATAGAATCTGTACAGTGTATTGATAAGGAAAGCAAAAATAATATTTCGATAGCGATTTTTCTTCATCGTGTTTTAACCTACCAAAAGAGTGAAATTTCAATTCCGGTGGGCTACAAAACCGCGCGGGTGAGAATAGAAGACTAAGATTTATTGTTATGTCATTTCAGGACATTCTGTACAGATTCTGTCAAGCAAATACAATAGTTTATGTAATATATACACCTCTGGGCTAGTATGCCGTCAGTTTGTCGACATTGGAGTTTTGGCGAGAAACGATCGTTTCAACTGAAAAATGTCGACGATTGATAGACGAAATTGGAATTAGCAGAGGAGGGCTCTAACCTGGGACTAGGCTCTGCAGGTTTGCAGGGGGGGGGGGGCGGAGTCAAGAAAGGGGTCAAACAGGAAAAAGAATTTAGGCGAGCGAATCGAGTTGAGCGGTGAATTGGGGAAGAGAGAAGGGCGGCGGAGCCTCAGCCACCCTTTCCCAGGCCTGACCGCTGGAGACCCTCATCTCTCGGCTTCCTTTACGCTCCTATTTTTTTCTTTTTTTTTGGTTATCAAAGCGGACATTTAATTTTCCATTTTTCCCCCAATGCGGAGCCCGGTCCCAGCCTAAGACAGCTCATAGAGCCATCATTAAAACGGTTTTATATAACATATGCAGAAGAGAAAGGAAAACAGGTTCACAGCTTCTTGGGGCGGCTATATAAAATTAATAACAAAAGAAGAGTTTGAGAACGCTTGTGTACTAGTGAGTAATGGAGTAATCCTCATTATTAATTGATCTTCCAAGGTATCTTCTCCCATCTCATACACTACAATGCCCCGCCAAAGTGCAGAAATGCACCGTCAAGGGATGTGGAGAAACGGTCAGGAGGAAGGACAGGAAAAAGCACGAGGATGAAAATATGTCCCGCCACTACAGCCTCCTTAAAGAGGAAAACGAACGCATTCTTTGGAGTGCCAGCAAAATAGTGAGTTTGCCCGAAATGCCATGAAGAATTTTATTGTTAGGAGACATTTCAAGGAAACCTCTTGACAGAGTCTCTGGAGTGAAATTACAGTATCTGTAACCCGAATTGTTTTGTTACAATTAGTACAAACTTAAAAACAAGAAGCTGAATAAATAACCTCATTACATAGTCATAGAACCATTGCGATCGGCGCTGTAACATGTATTGAATGCTCGGAAAGAAATTATAGCATAAGTTGTCAGACAGGCAGACGAATGCGGTCATTAAGTTAAACAACCTGAAATTCGCGAAATACGAAATAAACATTGCTAAGTACCCAAACTAAGCGTGAAAAAAGATAGCCCTTACACAACAACTGAAAGTCGCTGCTAACAAGACAATTGACTTTACTCGTTCGTGGACTGGTTTCTTCAGACTTTCCATCGGGAAATTTTGAGAAAAAGACCTAAAAACAACTTACAACAAAGCTTGAATAAAGCTTTCTGAAGCCATTTTAAGTATTTTGAGTGATTGCTGGGAAAAATTTATCTGTTCCTCACTCCTCGTGCAGAAAAAAAAAAGCAATTTGTTTGTAAGAAACGTAAACTTGCTTTTTGCGAAAATTTAAAACGTTGGGGGAACGTTACGTCCAAAATTTTGTTTCGAGGAACACTCGCGTCATTCTCATTTCTGAAGCTTTGATTAAAACGAAAACCGATTATGACTCTTTTTTCGCATTTGCCTATGGATCACAATGAAGTTCTTCGTTGCCAGATTGTTGCAAAAAGAAAAAAAAGGTTCGCTGTTTTAGCCGACAGTGTACGTAGAGTTGCAATGCACCTTAGAAACTCCTCGAGTTCCCCCTATGTTTTTCGTGCTTTCATCTAAAAACAAGCATAACAATTGTCCTGCTGATATGGTATTTCATCCAAGAAAGATGTTGTTAACTCCTCCTGTGGTACTTTTTTTCACAGAAGTGGCTTCATGTTAAGACAGGAAGAACAGGTGAGGCGGGAGCATACACATGGAGCATCCCGAACTGCTACGGCGACATATGTTCGCCAAGCTTTGAGATGTGGGGCCGTAAGTGGCGACTGTTCTGCATAAGACGAGGAGGCATCATCCACTACGGCCTTGAAAATGAAGAGGGAGACAGGCCTATCCACTTGTCAGTGAGGTACGTTTGCATGCAGCAAATTCTTAAAGGGACACACCGTCCTGTCCGAAATTTATATTATACTCTGTAAACCTTAAGTGGCGCAGTGGGGGCTAAGGGGATAAAGGATGGGATAAAGGATGTGTTGCGACCTTTTCAGCTAACTCGTTTTTTCTCTCTTTGCAGTTTCATCGTCGCAGCAGCAGGGGGTAAAAAGTATATAACATACCCCTTTTGGAGTTTAAGAAGGGACAGATGACCGAGCAAACTAAGACGGGCAGTATGCCTAAAGCCATAACGGTCGATATGGCATTGTTAGGGCCGAGCTTTACTAAAGATTCATAATTTCTCTTTCTAAATCTATATAGTGAAATCGATTTAAGACCTTGTTAAATGAAGCTTAAATCGAACAGGGGACGCGGTCCTTCACTTGATATTTGGATTTCTCTTTATTCACGTCTAGTCACTCCTGGTAGATGATAGATGATAATTGCTTTTGGGAAATGTACATAATAACCTAGATATACTTGAGTACATCCGTCCTCTGTCTGTATTCTATAAAAATGAAATACCGTAAATCCTCTTCTAGCCACCCCATCTTTAAGAACACCCCCTTTTCCCCCAATTATTGTTCACTAATAAATGTTAATTTATTGGGATCAATCAACCACAAATGTAAAACTTGGAAGTTCGGTTTGATTCGGATTGTCGGCTACATGACCTCCAACTTTCTTTTACTTGAGTTTTTCTACTTTGCGGTCTAGTCCCTTTGGAGAATATATACCATCTTTTTATCTAAATTAAATATCCCCCCCCACTCCCGTCTCTATTAAGCTTCTCCTCAAGTGAGCTTAAAAGAGATAAGCTCCTGGTGAGGGCTCAATAGAGGATTTACGGTATTAACCTAACTGTGTGGCGTTTTGAAAAGGTTTTGCTTGGTTTTGACCCCCAAGGATTGGAACTTCGCCTGGGCGCAAACTTGGTGGATATACTTTTCTTATTTTGGCCATCTGGCTTCCAGGAATGTGTGGAAGATCAAAGTTTTGCGTTCTAGTGTTGCCTAAAATATGCAAGTGAAGAACAAAAAATAAGAAGAAATGTACATTTCAGGCACATTGCTCGCTGGGCGTAATTATTAGACAACGGCAGTGCGATCTCGCTCTTTGAACTTCTTTGTGATAATTAATTCAAACCAGTTCCTGCCAAAAAAAGGCGGATATTACTAGGGGTGAAATCATAGTGAACGAGATAGGAAAAGACAGTCCTTCCTATTCGTGTAACGTCAAGAATCAAACTGTGAATTTATTTGATTTTTCGGTTATTATTTATTATTAGCAGATTTCAATAGTTATAACAGATTTTGCCTTTGGTTTTCATCTGTATTGTGCACTGAGTGTAAAAGTGCCAATTTAAAAGTCTTCTATACCTTTTAGACTTTTAAATAGAGATAAGTTTAGTTTTCGTCCACATGTATTTTTCGGAGTGGTAAAAGTGAGTGTTCCGAAAGAAGTACTTTGAGACTAATAAAACAGAGTCATAATTAGAAGTCACAATGTCAAGGGGACGTAATTTTTCAAAACGTCTTATTACAACGATGAATATAATTATATTTAAAAATTAATTTACGACCCAGTCTTGATTATCATATTGACTCCATAAATCAACTTATTTAAATAGACTTACAATCAATCAATTTGACTGAATATCGGCATTAGCGAAATCGATTTAACCATAAATATACTAAGCTTTAAATCAAAACTAAATTCAACCAAATTCAACAAAATCTTAAATCCATTTAACCTTAATTTAACTAAATAAGTCTTAAATAGATTTAAGCTTAAATTGATTATTTAACGACTAAGTCTTAAATCGATTTAACTGTAAATAAGTCTTAAAAGTCTCTAAGTCTTAAAACGATTTAAGAAATAAATGGCTAAGTCTTAAAAAGATTTAAGCTTATATAGATTTAACGACTAAGTCTTAAAACGATTAAGCTTAAATCGTTTTAAGAAATAAACGACTAAGTCTTAAAACGATTTAAGCTTATATCGATTTAAGCTTCAATAGATTTAACGACTAAGTCTTAAAACGATTTAAACTTAAATCGATTTAAGCTTAAATAGATTTAACGACTAAGCTTAAATCGATTTAAGAAAAAATGGATTTAACGACTAAGTCTTAAAACGATTTAAAGCTTAAATCGATTTAAGAAATATACTAAGTCTTAAATCGATTTAAGCTTATATCGATTTAAGCTTAAATCGATTTAAGAAATATACTAAATCTTAAATCGATTTAAAGGTTAAATCGATTTAAGCTTAAATCGATTTAAGAAATATACTAAATCTTAAATCGATTTAAGCTTATATCGATTTAAGAAATAGACTAAGTCTTAAATCGATTTAAGCTTATATCGATTTAAGCTTAAATAGATTTAACGAGTAAGTCTTAAAACGATTTAAAGCTAAAGTTATGTATTTTTATTAAAAAATTATATAATGCTGTTTGTTTTCATTATGCCAGCCGCTGATAAATATTTTTACCCTGTTAAATAAATTTACGTAGTTACATATTTTTATTTATTAAATTTATATAACACCCTATGGCCAGCTGCTGATAATGATCCGAAGTCACAATGTCAAGGGGACGTAATTATTCAAAATGTCTTAATACAGCGATAAATATTATTCTATTTAAAAATTAATTTACGACCCAGTCTTATTGATCATATCGACTCCATTTAAATAGACTTACAATCGACCAATTTGACTGAAAACCGGCAGTAGCGAAATCGATTTAACTATAAATATACTAAGCCTTAAATCAAAACTAAATTTAACCAAATTCAACGAAATCTTAAATCTTAAATCGATTAAAGCTTAATTTAACTAAATAAGTCTTAAAACTATTTAAGCTTATATCGATTTAAGCTTATATAGATTTAACGACTAAGTCTTATATCGATTTAAGCTTAAATCGATTTAACGACTAAGTCTTATATCGATTTAAGCTTAAATCGATTTAACGACTAAGTCTTAAAACGATTTAAGCTTAAATCGACTTAAGAAAAAATAGATTTAACGACTAAGTCTTAAAACGATTTAAGCTTATATCGATTTAAGAAAAAATAGATTTTACGACCAAGTCTTAAATCGATTTAAGCTTATATCGATTTAAGAAATAAAGGACTAAGTCTTAAATCGATTTAAGCTTAAATAGATTTAACGACTAAGTCTTAAAACGATTTAAGCTTAAATAGATTTAACGACTAAGTCTTAAAACGATTTAAAGCTTATATCGATTTAAGAAATATACTAAGTCTTAAATCGATTTAAGCTTAAATCGATTCAACGACTATGTCTTAAATCGATTTAACTATATAGATTTAGAACGATTTATTTTAATTTAAAGTTATGTATTTTTATTATAAAAATTATATAATGCTGTTTGTTTTCATTGTGCCAGTCGCTGATAAATATTTTTACATTGTTATATAAATTTACGTAGTTACGTATTTTTATTTATTAAATTTATATAACACCCTATGGCCAGCTGCTGATAATGATCCTGTTTTTGTATAGAGAGTGTGCTTAGAACATAACAGACACGCAGGTGTTTGTGCTAATGTTAATCCCTAATAAAAAAAAAAAACGTTTTTGCTTTTTACAATCTATTCAGATAAACAACAGCTTGCGCTAGAACAAATAACTAATCAATTGCGACAGCTTTGTTAAAATAAAATACGACGGAGATATTAAAAATTTTCGAAAGGTATAAAAACAGTTGAAACCTTTTGACAGAAAGTGTCTATTATTCGCCTTCTTTTTGCCACCTAGTTTTTGTCGCGCCAGTAAGGAACCTTACATAAAAAAATTAAAAGCAATGTACCACAACTATCCTACATTATCATACAGTCCAAGTTGAGAGACAGGGCAAGACATATGGAAACATGTACCTAACGATATATGAGTGATATATTTATTTTATTTTATATTTTATCTTAAACAATATTTATTTAGGGGTGCCCAGTCCAGCGAGGCTGGTTTGAATGGGGCCCTGACGAAAAGAAAGCTAATTTGTCAAAGAAGACAAACGTGTTTACAAAACCACTAACAAAAGCGATTCGATACATACTAATGAAACCCTTCTTTTTAGCAATCGGCTGGAGCTTTCTCCATGACCTCTCACACACGTTTTTAAAAAGATTGAAACTACTATGAGGTGAAATTGCATGTCAAAAGCGCTTCGTTTTCTACAGTTAACGGTCAAATATCAAGATTGTCCATTTTTTACTGTGTTTCTAACCATAACAATATCATCCCAAAATATCTCAATCACGCTCTTACAGATTTCGCTTAAGTTTCACGAACATCGAGGCCGCTATTGGAGGAAAAAAGCTCCCGTGAACGATTTTGGAAGAGCAGTTCCCAGTGCCGAGATATATTGCTGCAAGTACTGCAAGTAAGATAGGTAATAGCGTCATTTCGTTGCTATGACAACTCCGATGTCGTTGCAACCCTAATCATAACAAATTTTCATCTTTATCTAATACAACTGTGGTGGCAGTTTTTCTAAATCTGTGTTGATGGCGACATAGTTAATGCTTGAACTTGGGAGGTATTGAACCTGAAAAACTGTATCGAGCCACCTTAAAAAATTAAAAGAAATATACCATAATTTATCATACATTATCATACAGTCCAAGTTAAGAGACAAGGCACGATATATGGAAAACTATACCTAACGATATATAAGCAATATATGAAAGTCAGTGACTGTGCTCACGTTGTGGGCGACTCCTTCTAAAATGTTCTACATGTTTCTTGGTATAGGATTTAATGGAGCCGAAACGAATTGTGGAATTGCACACATTTTAGGCATCCTACTGATGAACAGTCACGACTTTTAGATATTTCGAGCAACAACAATTTACCGTCTTTCCTTTTTGAATTGGAATGAATACATTTTTCGAAAGGAAAGGTTAACGATAACATACTCAGAGCTCAATATTTCATGATGATCCTATTTACACTGCCCCATTGTCCAATTTTCTTGTGGCGCACTCTAAGGTTTGAAGCCAATCTAGTTTTCGAGCTTAAACCAAAATTAATATCACACCATCCTTTCCTATTTGCTTTTATTTTACGGTCCATAGTACACATAACTCGTGAAGTATTCAGTAACCCGCATGATGAATCAACGACCTTCGTTACCTTCACTAATACTTAGCATATTTTGAATAATATAAAACTGTTGTTCATCTATTTACTCGGAATAACCTCTATCATACGTTTATCTGAAACTCGTTTAAAAATAGTCCTGCATTTTCTGTGACAAGCAATCTTTTTATTATCTATTTCTTCCAATCGTTCTACTTCTGAAAACAGCCAACAAGCAACATTTTTCTTCAGAAGTTTTTATTGTTTGGCTGACTCTTAATCGGCAGGTGCCGGCAGTTCTCTTAGTTTTGAAAGGGTTGACGCAGTATGTTAATCATGGCTTGCCGAATGCGTCTCATCTTCCAGCAGTAAATCAGTGGACTCAGAGAGGAATTGAGTGCAAGCAAAATAGTTAGGTAGAGGTTTACTTTATACATCAATGAGGTTCGCACAGGACCAATTACATTTTCGACAATATTAAAACAAATTATTGGTAGGTAACAAGCCATGAGCGCTAGATACACATAAAATACGCCCAATGCAGCTTTTCTCTCTCTTGTTGCATTTACCGCTTCATTCCTCTCTCCGCTTTCAACTGGCACGTCTTGAACTTGAGCTGCGTGTTGTCGTAAGGCTAAGAAAATCTTGAAATAAAACAGGCCTGCGGTGATAAGACTGATGAACTGAATAGTAACAGTCAAAATGAAAAATATGTCCTCTGGGAGCCACTCACGAAGTCGAATCAACGGAAGAACGGCGCTCAACAGCCAAAATGAAATGACCCCAACAATGGCGCGTTTATGAGTTACCGCATCCTGGTACCGGAGCTGAAGGCGTATCACCAAAAATCTGTCAGCACTCAAAGCCACGATGCTAAAAAACGAAGCATACGTTAGGACGTTGGCCACGACTCTGTACGCTTTTAATACAGCTTCATAGTGATCAGGCCAAATATACGGCGGAGATCTAGAAAGAATATTTATGTTGCTAACCAGGAGACAAATTTGCAGTGGCTGCGCTACTAAACCAACACCAAGGTCAGAGACAGACATACTGAGGAGCAATGTTTTCAGAGTTTTTCTTGGTAACGAAGGAGTCTTTCTTAGCGCGAGTATTACTAAAACGTTTAGCACTACGGCAGTAAAAGCTAAGATGGAATTCAGGATGCAAGCGACGAGTGTATTGTTGTAGAGGTCCGAGTGGTGCATTCTTTTCCTTGGAACCGGACGCTCTTTTGAGTCTACTCTGCCAGTAAAAGTTCAGTCGGTTTACGTTCAAAGCGATGAATACTTTATATATATAGGATTTGTTTGTGCCTATACAGATACCCCAAACCACGTAATAGCGCTGAAAAAAGACATGACTGAAATGATTGTAATGATTGTTTGATCTGTAGTGGTCCACCAATGACAGGCGAGAAAAATAAGAACCGTCAATTTTCGGAGTGAGTTTTGCCTGTATTTGCGTTGTTCATTTCGTTTTTCTCTGCATTTATATGAGACCTAGTAAATTTATTCGATGATAGACGGGTAATTAAGAGTACAATTAACAAAAAATGCCACACAAATTGAGATAAAGGATCAAATTATTACCACGCCAACATTATCAATTCACTTGTAAATAGAAATTTCGCTCCTCTTTGCTTAGATGGTCGCAGGTGTCTTTTCACCCGTTTGATGTAAAGAAAGAAACGACAGTCTACTTTATCACGAAAAGAAGAAAAACGTGTTCATATTTTGGTGTCAATTTTCCCCTTAAATATCCAGGTGTTATTCAAGCCAGCTTTTTTGTTGATATTCTACCAATAGACATCCGAAGAAGTTAACCTATATACTGAATGTAACAACTATTGAACTGATTAAATATGCAGAGACTTTCATTTATGTGTGCACGCAATAAACAGGGCACAAAAAAAATTGGAAACCGTCCAGTGGAAGAAGCCAAGAAAACGAAATTTTATAAAAGACTAACATATAAACAATTTATCTAAATGTCAGGTCTTTTTGGTCCACGTCATATGGCCGCCGGAAATCAACAAAAACATCTGGAGTTCACTTTTTCTATAAAGGCTCTTACTTTTCACTCGAGAGCTAGCATACGTGCGCAAAAACACATCTTTTAATACTTGAAATGGTTAAACTGCTGACTATCAAGAGGAATGACTTTTTTCAATGAGACACTCATTCCTATTTTGGTATCACGTACTATGAAAACTCGGAAGTTCAAATTGCTGTATTTTCGAAATGAAACATGCTTCGGGGCTGGAAACTTTCTCAAAGATTTATTTTCTACTTATCTTCAACCTCATGTAAATAAGAATTCGTAAAACCTCGCTTTTTTGACATTGCAATCTGATGACGTTACTGTGAAAACCATCAAGTATACCAATTCAAGTCAGATTACCTCTGAAAAGTGGAAAGACTCAGTATAATAGTTGAACATGAATTTTTTCTTCCATTTTCCAGCGACGTATTACTCTCTGAAATGTTCTGCTTAAGATTCAAAAAACGAATTTAACGAATCAGAATATAACTACAGTGAAACCTCTATTAAGCGGACACCCAATTAAGTGGACACCCTCTCCTAAGGGGACTCTAAGCCGGGTCCCGAAACGAACGTCTGATATTTCCCTTTATAACGAAACACTATTCAGCGGACACTTCTATTAAGCGGACGCGGACACTAACATAAGTTGTATTTGGCTAATTTCTATTATTCAAAACCTCTATTAAGGGAACACCGGACTGAACTGACAATAGTAGTATTGGATTACGTCTTTAAAACACGTACTGAGGTCAGTTAGTGTTTTTGCATTTACAAACAAATTAAAGTTGGTAATGAAAGGTGATGAAATTGAACTCTAGATAGCTTCTTAAACAACATGCAACTTTATCACGGTACAGAGTAACCGTTGAATGTTGATCGTTAACAAAGATTGCGCAATTCTTACAAGCGGACTCCTTCTATTAAGCTCCCTCTTATTAATTTTCCTCATGAAACCTCTTTAGCAGAGTTTAATGTGCATAGCAATACGTGTAGTTGGGTTTTTCAGGGTTTTACCGAAAAATTGAATTTCTTTGTGATTTTTCCCTGGCCTTTATTAGGATTGGTTTAGTCGTTATAAGGACAAGCCAGGTTTTGAAACCATAAATGTAAGTCTTAGATGAATTATGTCAAATTTGGCACTACAGGTGTGTTGGGTAGTTTTCAGCTGAATCGTGCTGTTTTTAAATTAAACGCCCACTAAAAATGTGTTACCAACTAGTGTTAAGTTAAATGACGTCCCTCAATATACTAAACACACCACCAGTCATTTAATATGTTAGTCATATATTCCTTGATAATAGTCCTGATCATGAATTGGCTGGATAATCGTGGCGATACGGACTGATAATACTACGGAAGTCACCTATCAAAAAATTAATAAAGGCGTTATCTTTTATTGTAATAATCGTACTCCCCTGTTCCTGTTTGTTTAACGATTAACAAAACTTTATCCACCTTGCTCGTTAGTGGTCTTGGATGTTGCCAAGCTTTTTTATATTGTGCTATAAAATGCTCGGTTCCATTTTTTTCTTCTTAAAAGGTCACCACTGAAATTGCTCAGATGAAGGTTAAAGACGTTTATTGGATGGTTTCAGCTGAATTTTGCTATTTTGAAATTAAATGCCGAACCAAGAGAGACCCAACAAAAACGTTATACGTATCACGAATTGAAAAGTAAATGACGCAACTCGCTAGAAGCAATATACTAAACGCATCATTAATAACTCAATATGTTAGTTCCTACATGTAATATATATCTCTTATTATGTTAATTAATGTTCATGAACTAATTAGATGACCATATATATGGCAATACGGATTCACCTGTTGTAAGTTAATAAAGGCAGACCTTTTTGCAATAAATATTTGTTTTTTCAACAATTATCGGTGAGAACCTTACACTTTGCACGGAAGAGTCTATTTTACCCTTGGTTAACTGATTATCATACATTATCATACCCAAAAACAAAGGAAAAGAAAAATTAAACTAAGGATAAAATTAAATCACAACATATACAGGTAAGTTTTAACAGCAAAACATAGTACTCTAAACGGCTGTATTAAGGTAACATTTAGATATATATATTTTTAGTTTAGAGTTATTTTCACTTTAAATTTTTTTTCTTTTTACTTTCTCTAAAATTATTGTTTTAATAATCAGCTAAATGATTTTGCCTCACTAAATTGCTCTAAAAAATGACAGCAAAATGTACAATTTAACGTTTTACTGGCGCCAATCGATAAAGCGGGTCGATTGAAACCATTAGGTTTTCCGCTCAGGCTTATCCTCCGCTCTCATTAACGTGCAGACTGTCCTTTATATGAAGGTCGTTAATATATATTTTTAAAACAGAACTTAAAAATGAAATGCAAATATTTAGACACATAAAATGCTGTGTACATACTGTTGCTTTGCGTTTGTTTCTTCGATGATTAGGCTCGTTGACTCGGTTCACAAACTTGAAGTTTCTTCAACTCAGAAAATGGAAAAAAATAATTATTCTGTATTTCTGGGTAGAACAAGTGAAACTTTAACAAATGAAGAAATTACTTTTGCTATTTAAGCATGGGGCATCAAAGATCCTCAAGTTGTGACTGAAAAGTATTATAAGTCATAATTAATCAACTAATATATAGATTTAGCCAGGGCTAAAAGCAAGGCTGTCGATAATATTTATAGTTTGTTCAAACAAAATATAAAATCGTCTCATGCTAAGCGGCGAAGGCAACGCCGGAGAACGGTGAAAACCAACAATAACAACTTAGGAGGATCACTCTCATCAAAAGTCTTCTGGGCCCGGTTGCATAAAACGTCCGTAACAACTACGGGTACACGTACGTGCACTCGTAACTTAAGTCAGTTGCATGAAATCACTTAAATGGTCCACTTAGGGAATTCACTTAAGTGGTTGCACTTACGATTTTCGTAAGTGTTCACTTACAGTCAAACCAGGTCAAGCGTACCCCCCAAGAATTCATTCATGAATTTATTATTCAAAAGTTGAATCCGTTGCTAGTTGTAGATTTCAGATTGATCTCTGCATTCTTGCATGTGTAATGAGCCGTGAATTCACACGCGAGGCAGTTATGAAATTTCTACCAGCTCCATTTTCTAGAAATTGATGTAAGTGTCTTCTAAGAAGCTTAATCCATTCAAAGATTTCCAATCTGACCAAATACAGAGAAGTTCTCGTAAAATATTCACTGCTCATTACGCATACAGAAATGCCGCTTTGAATTCGACACTAGTTACGGGAACGACTAATGGATTCATTTTTCAAATAATCAATTCACTGATAGAATCTTGGGGGGTACGCTTGACTTGGTTTGACTGTAAGTGTCGTTTATGCAACAGAAATTGCGGGTGTTGCATAAAACTTTTTTTAAGGGAAAATAGCACGTAAATTTACGGGACCTATGTAGATCCCGTATCGTTGCTGTTTTTACTAAATTTAACGAGATCTTTTGCTGAGGAGTGAAAACAGTATTTTTCTTCACGTAATTCGTTCTAATGCGCTTTGTTAACCTCTGATGTACACTTTTGTGAAAAAAGAAGAAGAACTATCATTTTCAGTAGATATTGAAGAAAAATAACGTTTGCATGCAAATTTCATTTTTTGAGAGGCTTAAAAGAGGGTCTCACTGGGGTTAACCGATAGGCGTAAAACGGCCAAAAATTTAGCCGATAGCCGTAAAAATTGAAACATTTTAACCGTTAGCCGTAAATAGGGTAAAAAAGAGTTAACCGTAAAAGAAAGTGTTCCTTAGATTTGCTACTTTTAAGGAAGGTACTAAACTCACCTATGGTTGTGTTTTTTATTTCCCGGCTAGTGTGACTCCGTACGCACGTTAGGCGAAGCGCCTTTTAGGTGTTAACCAAGACCTAGGCTCCATTTCCGGCGCTCTATCGGGGAACTAATTTTTTCCATAGCGAAAGTGTGGCTTCTTACTGGGGATTAATATCTGCAATTTTCGGGAGGTCGTGCCCTCGAAACACTAGTGAAACAGCACGCAGCGATGTCACTGTTTGTAAAACACGTTGCCGATAAACAACACTTCCCTGTTTTTCTCCGCTGACGCTACGGTAGACATTGCTATGCCTAGTCCCTGTACGGCGTCTTCCCACGCAGTCTCGGTCAAGGCATTTCGGTGGCGAACTCGCTGGGACCACGTGACCCGAAACGCATTAGCCGCGCGGAATAATGCGGCCTACGAACAAGGCAACGGCAGACAGTCGCTCCGTACAGTTCTTCGCTATCATAAAAACACTGGACAAGAGAATTTTGTTTTTGGCCGTTTTCACACTAGAGCTAGAAATGGATCATCCGTCCGAGACTAGCCTGTGTACAGTCGAGCCCTCCCCACAGACACCCCTTCTCCGATTTTTTTGTGAGGGGAGGGGGCGGCTGTACCAAGGCTACCTGGAACGGATAATCCCGTCTTCAAAAGTCAGGCGGATTGTTCACTCAAAATTAAAACTTTTCCATTTTCAAATTAAGACGTATTACCTATCTGACGCGAATCATCAAACGGATAACCCGTCTCACACGAATAATCCTTCTCTAGTGTGAAAACGGCCATTTTTGTTATAATGAATGTCGCCCCGGCCTTGAGTTGGGCGTTTGCTTGTCTGCTTTTGCTTTTTCACAAAGATTATTTTTAAATTGACTATTGACATTTCTATGTGTAAAATAATATTAGAAGTGGATTACTTTATAAAAAGTATGATCGATCCAATGTGAAAATTTTTCAAAAGAATGGCTTATTTTATCCTGAGATGATCCGAAGACCTTTATTTTGATTTAAAAATACAAAAAAATACAGGTTAATTAATATTTAACTTTTTGAAAGAAAAGCAGTTAATTTTTAACTCTTTCGTTAACCGTAACTGGAAAAAAATTAACCGATAGCCGTAAAAGAGCCAAGATTTTAGCCGATAACCGTAAATGCCACCACCCCATTGAGACCCTCTTAAAAGTTTTCGAAACGACTTTTAACTTTCTTTACACTCACCGATGGTTAGAGTGAATCATTAATAAAGTACTATATCAAGGTTACGTGTGCCCTTAAGTGAGCCCGTAAGTTACCACGTAAAACAGAAACTTACGAGAGCGCTAAGTGTGTTCCATGCAACACCCGTAAGTGTACCCATAACGGATTCGTAAGTGAGCTACTTAAGTGAGCACTTAAGTGCAGGTTTTATGCAACCGGGCCCTGGTCTCCCAACTTATTTACATTTTGAATCCACTCCCAACTGATGCGGAGGCACTACAAAAGGTCAACAAACTTCTTTTCGAGTTTCTTTGGCACGGTAAAGGCGAGAAGATTAAAAGAGAGTATACAACAATTAAAGATTATGAGGAGGGCGGTCTGAGGATGTATTGACATAAATACGTTCAATAAGTCTCTTAACCCTCGGACGTATAAGGGGGGTGGATGCCACCCCCCTTCCCCTCCCCCCCCCATAAGGTTTTTCTGAGTTTTCTATTAGAGGATAAAACATCAGCACCTGACTTTTTCAGTAGCTGCTTGTTCATCCCTCCCGCACATTTTGAGACAAGTTCAGTGATGGTCAGTTGCTATGGTTACGAGATATGACGTCATAACTAGCAGGTGGTCAAGCCATTTTTGAGTGAAAGTACGTGGTTTTTCAACTTTTTCCAACAATGAAAGTAAATCCTGTCGCTAAAATCATGCAAAGTGCTTATTTATGTGTTACTTTTCATGTACAGCAGAAAAAATTACCTTTTCTTGCAGTTTTAACCTGATTTCTAATTCTTGGTAAAATTTGAGATAGCGACCATTGTTGGTGACGTCAACCTAATCTTCAATACCTAATCTTGTTAAGAAGATCAAAGGCTTTCGACTTAGGGTAAAATCGTTTCGAAATACTGCAATACATCAAAAACTCCGGGCAGGGGTTCCATCCCCCCTTGTACCACGGTGTGGGTATGACTTTGCGTGTACGTCAACGAAGTATACACAATCGCCTTCAACTGTACGGCATCAACCAAATTAAAAACCTTTCATTTTACGTTCTTACGTCGGAGGATTGCCCCCAACGATTTTTTAAAGAAAATTAACCTTAAGCAATCTGATAAATGTTGTTTATGCCAAAGAGAAAGAGAAACTATTTCTCATCTATTTCTGAGATGTTGTGCAACAAATGTTTTTTGGAACGATGTTAAACAATTTTTAATTCAAAAGCGCCTCAAGAGTAATGTTGTATTAACCGACCTGCATCTGATAGAGCTGTTTAAAGTTGCAACCTCCACCGCCATCGATCTCGTTCTTCTTTTTGGGAGATCTCATATCTACTCGAGCAAATTAGCTGGAGCGTCTCCTTGGATGTCCCTATTTACAGTCAAAGCAGGTCAAGCGTACCTCCCAAGATTCTATTAATGAATTGATTATTTGAAAAATGAATCGGTTAGTGGTTCCCGTATCTAGTGTCAAATTCAAAGCGGCATTTCTGCTGGCGTAATGAGCAGTGAATGTCTGACGAGAACTTCTCTGTATTAGGTCAGATTGAAAATCTTTGAATGGATTATATTTCTTAAATTCAGGGAAACTGAGCTGCTAGAATTAAATTTTAATTTGTAACTGCCTCGCGTGTGAATTCACGACTCATTACGCATGCAAGAATGCAGAGATGAATCTGAAATCTACAACTACCAACTTTCAATTGTTCCAAGTCAACAATTGAAAAAAGCGTTGAAGAGTCAGTCTATTGTGGAATGAACTTCTATTCGCAGAGCTAGTCGTTGATCAACTTTCATTGATATTTTTTTAATCAAGGCCGAAAATATTTTTAGCTAAAGAAGTGATAGTTTTTGTATTTAAACACGTTCGAATGTATTTGTGTAGAGAGTGTACTTAGAACATAACAGACACGCAGGTGTTTGTGTTAATGTTAATCCCTAAAAAAATGTGTGTGTTTTTTTACAATCGATTCAGATAAACGACAGCTTGCGCTAGAACAAATAACTAATCAATTGCGACAGTTTTGTTAAAATAAAATACGACGGAGCTATTAGAAAAATTCGAAAGGTATTAAAACAATTACCTTACGACAGAAGGTGTCTATTATTCACCTTCTTTTTCCCACCCAATTTTTGTCGCGACAGTAAGGAACCTAACATAAAAAATTAAAAGCAATGTACCATAATTATCATACATTATCATACAGTCCACGTTAAGAAACAGGGCACGATATATGAAAGCTATACGATATATAACCGAAATATGAAAGTCAGTAGATGTGCTCACATTGTGGGTGGCGCCTCCTAAAACGTTCTACCATTGGTCTAGGATGGAATCGAAACGAATTGCGGACTTGCACACATTTTAGGCATCCTACTGATAAACAGTTACGACCTTTAGATATTTCGAGCAACAACAATTTGCCGTCTGTCCTCTTTGAATTGAAATGAATGGACTCATCGAAAGGACTCGGTTAGCGATAACATACTCAGAGCTCAATTTCATGATGATCCTATTTACACTGCCGCACTGTCCAATTTTCTTGTGGCGCACTCTGCAGTTTGCAGCCATTCTAGTTGTCGAGTTTAAACCAAAATTAATACCACACTATCCTTTTCTACTTGCTTTTATTTTACGGTTTATTGTACACATAACTAGTGAAGTATTCAGTAACCCATTGGATGAATCAACGACCGTCGTTACCTTATATAATACTTGGCATGTTTTGAATAATTTCAAACGATTGTTCTCCCGTTTACTCGGAATACCTTCTGTCATACCTTTATCTAAAACTCGTTTGAAAAGTCTTGTATTTTAACTGACACGCAATCTTAAATCAGTTCTCCGTGGACAAAAATCATCTACTGGTTGTTGAAGTTGCTGCTGCTGCTATGGTTTATGTGTTTCTTCTACTTCTTCTTCTTCTTCTTCTTCTTCTTCTTCTTCTTCTTCTTCTTCTTCTTCTTCTTCTTCTTCTTCTTCTTCTTCCTCTTCTTCCTCCTCCTCCTCTTCCAATTCTTCTTTTTTTTGTACTTCATTCTTCTTCTTATTATTATTATTAGTCTTCGTCTTCCTCTTCTTCTTCATCATCATCATCTTCTTCTTCTTCTTCCTCTTAGTCTTCGTCGTCTTCGTCGTCTTCTTCTTCTTGTTCTTGTTCTTCTTGTTCTTCTTCCTCTTCTTCTTCTTCTTACTCTTCGTCGTCGCCTTCTTTTTTTCCCTCTTCGTGGTCTTCTTCGTCTTCTTCTTGTAGTTATTATTATTATCTATTTCTTTCAATCGTCCTATTTCTAAAAACAGCCAACAAGCAACAGTTTTAATTACAAGTTTTTATCGTTCAGCTTTCCTGTCTTAATCCGCAGTTTCCGGCAGTTCTCTTAGTTTTGAAAGGGTTTACGCAGTACGTCTATCATGGCCTGCCGAATGCGTCTCATCTTCCAGCAGTAAATCAGTGGACTCAGAGAGGAATTGAGTACAAGCAAAACAGTAAGGTGGAGATTTACTTTATATACCAATACAAATCGCTTAATGTCCATTATTTTTTCGGCAACATTGAAACAAATCCTTGGTAGGTAACAAGCCACAAATGTGAGATACACATAAAATACGCCGAATGCAGCTTTTCTCTCTCTTGCTGCATTTACCGCTTCATTCCTCTCTCCGCATTCAGCTGGCACGTTTTGAACTTGGGCTGCGTGCTGTCGCAAGGCTAAAAAAATCTTGAAGTAAAACAGGCCTGAGATGATGAGGCAAATGAACTGAATGGTAACAAAAAAAATGAAAATCTTGTTCTCTGGGAACCACCCAAGAAATCGAATCAGCGGAAGGACGGCACTCAACAGCCAAAATGAAATGACCCCAGCCATGGCGCGTTTATGAGTTACCGCATCCTGGTACCGGAGCTGAAGGCGTATAACCAAAAATCTGTCAGCACTCAACGCCACGATGCTGAAAAACGAAGCATACGTTAGGATGTTGGCCACGACTCTGTACGCGTCAAATATAGCTTCATGGTGATCAAGAAAAGTATATGAAGAAAGGAAATTTATGTCGCTGACAAGGAGATAAATGTTTAGTGGCTGCGCTACTAAACCAACACCAAGGTCGGAGACAGACATACTCAGAAGCAATGTTTTCAGAGTTTTTCTTGGCAAGGAAGGAATATTTCTCAGCGCGAGTATTACTAAAACGTTTAGCACTACGGCAGTAAAAGCGAAGATGGAACCCACGATGCAAGCGATCAGTGTGTGGTAATAAAGTTCCGAGGACATTCTTTAGCTTGGAACCGGACGCTCTTTTCTGTCTCCTCTGTCAGAGAAAGTTCATTTTACGTTTCAAAGCGATGAATACTTTTAAAATATATGATTTGTTTGTTTTCAACGAGTCAGCTATTTGAATGCTTCGTTGTTTCTCCTTTACACTTCCAAATGTTTGTTCTGATACGCTCAAACGCACTCTTCAACGATGAAAAGCGATTATTTTTCCCACTATGATTCGCTTGTTACTATGCCTATATAGATGTCCCAAACCATGTGATAGCGCTGAAAAAATTGACTGATATGATTATTAAATGACTATTTGATGTGACAAGAAAGGGAAAGGTCTTCCAAATTGTCTATGATGGTCCACCAGTGACAAGCGAGAAAAATAAGAACCGTCAATTTTCGGGGTGAGTTTTGTCAGTATTGGCGTTGGTCATATTGTTTTTCTTTGCACTTATAAGAGAACGAGAAAATTAATTTGATGATAGAGGGAAAATTGAGCCTACATTTAATAACGACGCCGAGCAATTTGAGGTAAAGGATCAAATTATGACCACGCCAACATTAGTCACTTCTGTTCTGGATACAAATTTCGCTCGTCCTTGCTTAGATGGTCCGGCAGGTGTCTTCTTTCTCCCGTTTGACGTAAGGAAAGAAGTTAATTTATGGAGAAAAAAAGGAAAGCGAACATTTTCGAAAACTATACGTGCCAGTAATTTAACATGAAAAGGAACCGACTGCGCTGCAGATAAACAATGCTCACCCTGATCGTAGCCGCTGTTGACAGCAAGAAGCGATAAAAAACTGTCTCATTCACGGTACAGAGTTGACAGAAGCAAATAAAGCTCTGTGTTTCTTCTCGGAAAGTGGAGTTATTTAAACTAGCAACGTTTTCTTTTCAATCATTAATGCTAAAGCTAAAAAAAAATTAAAACTAAGATTTGCCATGTTTGAAAATACAGTAAAGATCCAATTGTTGTGCATCATCTATATACTGTTAACGGCTACATGTTCACGCATGAATTCACTTGTGAATCAAACTAATCGTTTCTTTCACGGTTTCCTTTCTGATTCTGTTGAGATCACTTCGTGTGCATATACTAAAAAAATTATTTACCTCAGGCTCAGTTAATATTGATCTATCCCCGAGACGAAATTAACCAACAATTACACACAGTAACTTCGCCTTTGGCGAATAATTGTTAAATATTGCTCCATAAACTACAAAAATACAAAAAACCCTATAGTGGCCCGTAACTAGGGTGCTCACGATCACTAAAAGGAAAGCTGACTCTCGGCCCGAGATTGGTTCCGTTCCAGTTATAGAAATAGGTATGATTTTTATGGAACCTGCGTTATAAATGGTGAAGTTATTATAGTTTAGTTTGACAGAAAACCTGCAATCAGCAAGCGGAGGTTTCGTTGAGGCCGGAGGCCACAAGTAGCGTCCAGCTGTTATCGTATGTATTAGGTCCAGTATTATCACTTTCTGAAGTAAATTAATTCAGATGTTTTTGTATTTCTTTACGTAAATAGAGTTGATCCTTAGTTTTCTTACTTGATAACTCATCCGGTTCATGTTCCTGGGAGCGCAGGAAACAAAGTTTCAGAGGGTCTAATCTCAAGAAAATTCCAATGGAATTGGGGAGGAGCAAAGAAAAGGTCTTCCCTAGTAATTCGTCCCTTTTGCAATCATCTTCGCGCCTATCTATACGGTACCCACGTCCGCTTGTTTCCAAACACCCTGAGCTCGATTTCGCTCCACATAAGGTAATCCAAGGGATTTCAGGTACTGGATTCCGGACTCGATCCGGACTCCAATCGTTAGTGGGATTCCGGATTCCTTGAGCTGAATTTCCGATTCCAAAGTCCAGGATTCCGGATACCACGGGCAAATCTTTCCTGTATTCTGGAATCGAATTTGAATCATGAGGCGATTGCAGAAATCAGCTTAATGAACTGTGATCGTCATGCCTATCTAACCCGGCTTTAACCATTGATTTCCAGTAACATTCTGCTGCTGTCTCTGTGACTGTCGCATTCCCAAGACAGGTTACGACAGTAAAAATGACCCAAAGGAAGACAGCGACTGCAGCGATGTTGAACAACTGGTTGCCGCTCTCAAACAATGACATGGAGAAAAAGTGTCGACGAACGGCTTTACTCCTCCAAAGAGTCAATTGCGGACCACGGAACACGAAATGGGGAAAATGAATAAAGGTTTTGATAATGAAGGTGAAATGCCTTCCAGGAGTGATAATTGGAGGGGTACAGCTCGAGTTGAGTTTTCATGGCAGCCATAACCATGATAGAAAAGAGTTTGAAAATCGATCAGCAAATAACATGTAGTAGGGCTTCAGCAAGGATAAGCCCCTTTTTGGACTTCCCTTGGACTTCCTGCATGCTAATTTAGATTTCCTGCCTACTAATTTTTTACTTCCTCCATACTAATAAGGATACTCGACAAAAATGCGTTCCTTCATACTAATAAGTGGATAGGTTTACTAATGAGCGAATACTACAATAGGCACAATATGCTTGTCTCGGCTTGCCCGGTAAGTTACTTGAGCTCGGTTTTCAGACCTTCCATTAAAAGAGAAATGGGAATAAGATAAGCGATCACCTAACAACGCGAGAAACGGCTTCCTATACCTTATTTAGCGCTTAAACTCAGATATGTAAACAAAACACATACACAAGGTGGAGTTGAAAAGTCTTTATTTCAATTTTGTCTGACGTTTTCTCCGTTCTATCTCGAGGACATGAAAAATTATTACAGTCTTGTAATTTCACGCAGCGTCAGACAGTTAATTATGCGAGTTTGCAAGCCCAAAGTTGAATACAAGTTACCTCTACAGGAAAGACCTAAGATTAATTAATTTCCATTCCTTACAAGTCGCTGTGTATTTGCTCTTTTTGTTTTCAATAAAGTTTTGAAAACGGTATCTCTCGTGTGGTTTTATTGCTAGCAATTATTAGTCGCGTGTTTTAATTGATCCTTGTTGAGTTATTTAAAATTGTTTATATAATAATATGTCAAGATGCTCCCTTGGGTCTTTCCCGTAGAGCTAATATGTATTCAACTTTGGGCTTGCGAACTCGCATAATTACTGATTAACGGTGCGTGAAATTACAAGACTGTAATAGTTTTTAATTTCCTCGAGCGAGAACGGAGAAAACGTCAGACAAAATTGAAATAGAGAGTTTTCAACTCCACTTTGTGTATATGAATTTTGTTTATAATATCCGAGTTTTAGAGCTAAATAAGAAGACGCTAAAAGATTTTTAAAATACATTTAAAAAACATTTTAAAAAGCGAAGGACGTTTCGGCGCTACTGACGCCATTATCAAGTTGAAAAGTGAAAAAGTACAAGGTGTAAAACGAATATACAAAATTTGAAACAATACATAAAATATTTGCTGGTCCAATGGGTATAATTCCCAAGGTAAGAAACACAATAAGAGAAAAAGAAACAATGTACGAAAGTGTCACGTAAATAGTTTGGCGCGAATGGAGTCGGCTTGCGTGTTAAGAGAAGGCTTGATGTCCTTTATGTATAACATCTCGTAGACTAAGCAATCAAACTTGCTGTTACATTTCCTCAGAACTTTGAAAAGATGGTCAGTCTTTGTTCTGTTGTTGCCATGCTGTGTTTCAAGGTGTTTCCCGATGGCTGAAGAACGGTGTTCACTTATGCGTTGATGTAAGTGTCGGGCAGTGTACCCTACATAATTTGCATCGCGCAAATCACATTGAAATAAGTGTACATTGAAATAAGTGTATATTCGTTTTACACGTTATACTTTTTCCCTTTTCAACTTGATAATGGCGTAACGTAGCGACGAAACGTCGTTCACTTTTTTAAATGTATTTTAAAAATCTTTTAGCGTTTAACTTTTTGATCAAATCATTTTCGAAATCTCTCCTGTTAAATAAGAAGACATAAACTAAACTGAAATAAAGACTTTTCAACTCCACTTTGTGTATGTGTTTTGTTTATACATCTGAGTTTAAGCGCTAAATAAGATATAGGAAGCCGTTTCTCGCGTTGCTAGGTGATCGCTTGTCTTATTCCTTTTCAATAGACGGTCCGAAAACCGGGCTCAAGTTACTTTACGGGCAAGCCGAGGCAAACCTATTGTACCTATTGTAGTATTTGCTCATTAGTAAACCTATCCACTTTTGTCGAGTATCCTTATTAGTATGGAGGAAGTCAAAAATTAGTATGCAGGAAATCGAAATTAGTATGCAGGAAGTCCAAGGGAAGTCCAAAAAGGGGCTTATCCTTGCTGAAGCCCTAAGCCCTAAGTTTTCTAAGTCATATGCCATTGCATGGACAGGTGATATTGTGGATCAATTATAGTTTCTGGGTAACTGACCACCTACCCCTCCCCTAACTCACAATTTTGCCCTAGGTGAGAAGTAAGTGTTAGCTAGGGTTGATGTTGACTTAAGGGAGGGGTAGGTGGTTGGTGGTAGTTGCCTAGAAAACTAAATTGATCAGTATTACCACCTACAGCTAGTGGAGCCCCGCATTACGGCCACCTCGGTTATACGGTCATCTCGTTATTACAGCCACTTTTTTGGTCGCCCGGCAAAACGGCCATACATTTTTAATACGGCCAAATTTTTTGGCCCATTGGTGACCGTATTAACGGGGTTCCACTTTATCGAATGTACTACATGTGCAGGCTGAAGTTATTTAGGTCATATTCACACGCTGCCCATCGATGAAGTGTAGGCCTGTCACCGTGTTGACCTCGAACACAGCATAAACTAAAGACAAGTTAGAAACAGCATAGCACAGTGCGTATTTGTACTACATGACTGTCCAATATTAAACAATTATTGGATGAGGTTTTTGTGATATCCGGAATAATCAAGGTCGAGGTAAATGTTATCAGCCGAAGCTGAAGGCTGAGGCTGGTAACACTAACCGAGAAGCTCTGGTTAATAATACGTGTAAACAAAAAAATAAATAAATCGTGTAATGCTAAACGCGGACGA